TGGGTAGCTGGTGGTCTCAGAGCTGCCCCCCGCTCCAAGGCTCCAGGCCCTGGGTGGGTCTGAGCCCTGCAGGGAGGGCCTGGCATGTTCACTGGGTCTCTCCTTTGGCCTGCGTTTCCCAGCTGCTATTTCAAGGTCTCCAGGACAGAGGCCCAGGTGCTGCTGGAGAGGAACCCGGATTGCGGCAACATGCCAAGGCTGGGAGTGTGAATCCTGGCACTAGTGTGGGTGGGGGCCCTAGTGCACACAAGGCTGGGAGTGTGAATCCTGGCACTAGTGTGGGTGGGGGCCCTAGTGCACACAAGGCTGGGAGTGTGAATCCTGGCACTAGTGTGGGTGGGGGCCCTAGTGCACACAAGGCTGGGAGTGTGAATCCTGGCACTAGTGTGGGTGGGGGCCCTAGTGCACACAAGGCTGGGAGTGTGAATCCTGGCACTAGTGTGGGTGGGGGCCCTAGTGCACACAAGGCTGGGAGTGTGAATCCTGGCACTAGTGTGGGTGGGGGCCCTAGTGCACACAAGGCTGGGAGTGTGAATCCTGGCACTAGTGTGGGTGGGGGCCCTAGTGCACACAAGGCTGGGAGTGTGAATCCTGGCACTAGTGTGGGTGGGGGCCCTAGTGCACACAAGGCTGGGAGTGTGAATCCTGGCACTAGTGTGGGTGGGGGCCCTAGTGCACACAAGGCTGGGAGTGTGAATCCTGGCACTAGTGTGGGTGGGGGCCCTAGTGCACACAAGGCTGGGAGTGTGAATCCTGGCACTAGTGTGGGTGGGGGCCCTAGTGCACACAAGGCTGGGAGTGTGAATCCTGGCACTAGTGTGGGTGGGGGCCCTAGTGCACACAAGGCTGGGAGTGTGAATCCTGGCACTAGTGTGGGTGGGGGCTGTAGTGCACATGGGGTTAGGAGTATGAACCCTAGCACTAGTGTGGGTGGGGGCTGTAGTGCACACAAGGCTGGGAGTGTGAATCCTGGCACTAGTGTGGGTGGGGGCTGTAGTGCACACAAGGCTGGGAGTGTGAATCCTGGCACTAGTGTGGGTGGGGGCCCTAGTGCACACAAGGCTGGGAGTGTGAATCCTGGCACTAGTGTGTGTGGGGGGGCCGTAGTGCACATGGGGTTAGGAGTATGAATCCTGGCACTAGTGTGGGTGGGGATCCTAGTGCACACAGGGCTGTGTTCACACGTGTTGTGGGGGTTGAGTGGTACAATCTCCCCATTCCCTTGCAGCACGGCGGTGGTGAAGCACTACAGAGTGAGCTGCCTCGAGCAGCCGGTGAGTGGGCCCGTTCTGCACCCCCACTTTACGCAGACACAGGGACCGGGGGCTCATCCCCGGGCAGTTCAAACGGCCGGGGATGCACAGCCACCAAGTAGCAGGCCTAGGAGCCAGGCCTTGATCACTTCCGCTGCTGGAGACTCTCTGTAGGCGCTATAGAGCCTAAGACACACACACAACTAAAAAGTTCCGGGCAGCAGCATCCAGCAGTGCTCCCCCATTCACCCCTGGATCATGAACCCATGGAACTCACAGCTGCAGGGTGATAATGTGGCAAATGGCTAAACGAGATCCCCCAAAGCCACAGGGATAGGAATAAGAATTACCTAGACGGTTACACCAGCTAGGATAGCAGTGGCAGGGGCTGGCAACCCGCATGCTGCAGGGCATGGTCTGACTGCCAGCGGGGGGTCAGGAAGGAACGCCTCACCCCTGGGGATATTGCACAGGTAAGTGCATTACGATGGGCTTGCACTTGGCATCGGCAGAGGCCCCGTCACGGCTCGGCTGCGCTGATCCCCCTCCAATGCGCCTGCTGGGCCAGGTTCTTTCTGAGGAAGGGGGTGACTGTCTTTGCCTCCTCCTGGCAGTCCCTGGGGATGTCAGCTAGGAGCACGGAGCCCTGCAGGCCAGGAGTGCCACCCGCAGGCTGCTAGGCTGGGGGCGGGGTCTCCAAAGCTGGCTCCACCCCCCCGGGGCCGGGGCCTGAGGGGGGCCCAGAGCTGAGTCTGACATGGTCTCCCTCCAGCATCAGTGCTCCTCCCTGGCAGACGTGGTGCATTACTTCGTCTCCAACACCAAGAACACCCTGGTGCCCTTACACCTGGATGAGGACTACGCGGAGAAGTTAGGTAGGTTCCCTCCTCCCGTGAGCCCCAGGCACACAGGGGCAGAGCTAGTGCACACACAGGCACCAGTGCATGATGGGTGGGCACCAGTACGGGGGTGTGCCAGCTGTCTTTAGGGGAATGATCCTCATAGCGGGGGAGTGGGGAAGGGCGGGTGCATATCAGATGGCTGGGTGGGACCTGAGGGGGCAGGGTGGGTCCAGGGGGGCACACGCATTGGCAGTGTGTGTCTGGGAGAGGGCAAGTGGGGGAGGTAGCTTGGGAGGGGGTGAGGGCCCACGGGGAGGTAGCTTGGGAGGGGGAGAGGGCCCACGGGGAGGTAGCTTGGGAGGGGGGAGAGGGCGCACAGGGAGGACACGCCAGCTGGGGCGTGGGGGGGCCGGGG